TGTGTGTGTGTGGTGGGTGTGTGTGTGGTGTGTGTGTGTGTGTGTGTGGTGTGTGTGTGTGGGTGTGTGTGTGTGTGTGTGTGTGTGTGTGTGTGTGTGTGTGTGTGTGTGTGTGTGTTGTGTGTGTGTGTATGTATACATTTATATATATTGTGATCGGCACCCTGGTTTGACTATTAGTATCCTACCGACATGCCTTTTGACTTTCAGCATAGAAACGCACACAAAACTCCTCAAGACCACAACACGCATGGCTTGACATTCGCAATGATTGCGCAAACAGGTATGGAGCGGCGTCGGCTCCGCGCACAGGTAAGGACAGAGCACGACTGGCCCCCGTAGGTTCCACGTGGCGCGGTGGCACGCACTGCAGCAGACAACAGCCCTGCCAACCACTCACCCCTCATTCGCACCACTGGCGGCGGCGCGGCCACAGGTGGAAAGACCGTGAGGCCGAAGAACATTGTAATGGCTAATTGCTAATTAATGTTGCCCCGCACATCATCGTACTCATCGTCAAGTTATACACCACCGACTTACTGGTCATATATGCCTGCCACTAAAACAATTGTTAGTTTTGGGTATGAATATAGCCCGGTGTTCTTGCCGGCAATTTGGGACTATTTCTCGTGAGTACGTCTTCATTTTCATACCATGGCAATTGGAAGGTGTTCCGCCCAGGCTTGCATGGCACATCATCATATTCGCCATAGAATTCAACGCAATCGGATTGCTGGTCATATACACCTATTATATAGCATGTACACAGCTTACAGATTTTTCATTAGCAGTACGAATATTTCGATGCTCCGGTTACCCTTCAGTGTGACGTTTGACGTTTAGCGGCCCACCACGCATTGAAGTTTGCAGCCAGTGACGTCATGCTAACGTTAAGCGAAGATGAAGCGAGACTCGCCAGCGACTTTCCTTTTCTTACGGGGCCTTGTATCATCACGAACACTTTTATCCAAAAGCTAACTTGGTAGGTCGTAGCGCGTACAGGCGGCGCTTGGTACGTTTTGTAACCCTAACATATAATGTGTGGACCTCGAAAACGTCTGTTCATCCGTAAACATATAGCTTTGAAAAACCCAGCATCAGTTTGTTTACATTGTAGCTGGGTCCAGCTACCTCATATTGCGAAGAACTTGGTATTTGTGTTGCTGCTTTGGGTACATATACACCAACCTGACTAAAGATAATTGTTGCCATCATCGATGTTAATCATTATTCATGTTAATGACCCGTAAAGCTCTGTCGTCAGTCTGAATGGGCCTCTTGCTCTGCCAGTTCTTGACCCTGTGTGTGAGCTGGTGACATATTTCCAGCAAGAGTTTGGTGGTGTGGCTTGTGCAATATGGCAGAGTGCCCTTGTCACCAAAAGTTTATATTTAAACAGAACAAACAGCACAGGTATCAAGTTGTATCATTTGCAGGGGCCCTGCCCCCTCCCCCTATGTTAAGTTGTGCTTCCCAATGTTGGCTTGGCACCCCCAATGCTGTTGGCTAGAATACTACAGGAAACATAGGTAGAAAGATGACCATAATACTAAGACTTCTTTGATGTTTCTGGAAGTGGCATTAATACTACTTCATAACAAAAAGTCATAGTTGCTGTCACCACCATTAAAACCATAGGAGCTGAGCAGATAAATGATGCATAAACTTTATATGCAAAGGGCCATAAGACACATAATGGTTTGTCAGGCCAAAGTGAAAAGCTCTGGGACATGGAGATGACCTAAGTCCATGGCAGTCAGAAGAGTGCCATGGGTGCCCTAAGGTGGCCTCTGGAGGGAGCCTTCACTTGCCTAACAGAAGAGATGTATGCATCCAGTGCCTGCTGCCTGGGTCCACCCTTGCATGGCTTCAGTGCTGCTTTAATTAAAGAGGTATCAGTTAAACAAAGACTAAAAACATCTTGCCTTAATCAACATGAAGGGGGCTAAATGTGGTAAGAAAAAATGGGGTGTTTAGTTGTCCTGTCTTTGGTTTTCATCCCCCCAATAATTTACAAGAAGTGCCACCCCACAAAACGGTATCAAGCAGATAAGCTTTGGAAAATATTGGCAGCAGCCAAAAAGTGAGTAGGATCACTGTGACTGCATAGGAGCTGCCTATATATTAGAATTTACATGGAAAGGAAAAGGATTTTCAGGTGAAGTGTAACTGGCTAGGCAGTTGCATTTACACTTATCCATGGTCAGGGCTTGACCACCTTTCTATGCCCACCCATGGTACTGAGATCCATGTTGCCCTGTCACATGTCCATTTTGTTTTCATGGGCACCGGGAAAAGCAGAAAACGGAAGACGCACATCTTCCGTAAAGGCATACAATCACAGGCAGGCATTATGAATACATTGCTTTTCTTCTCAATGTCTATTAGTGTGTAAAAGGTCATCTGTATATTGTTCATGCATGGAGAGGGAGAGTTTCTTTATGTAAAGAACCAAAACCTAGCAACAGGCTGGAGGGGGGGGGGGGAGACAGCTGAGCAGCGTAATATCACACTTTGGTACAATTACATTACAAATCATGGGATCATTTAAAGCCCTGAAATGTGATATCATTCAATTCTTGGGGTAACAAGCAACAGGCTGGTCTCTGTTTCACACGTCTAGCTCATTAAGTGGTCAGACAGACATTACCCTCTTGGAGGACACGATGCTTAGCAGAGTGTAACCGGGGCTGGGGGGGGGGGGGGGGGGGGGGGGGGCGAGTGGTCCATTCAGCATATCCAGTGTGTAAGCTGTGTGTGTTTGTGTGTGTGCGTGTGTACGTGTGCATGCGCGTGTGCGGAAATGACCGCACATGCGTAATGGACGTTATGGACGGCTTTTAAGTCCTGATGTGCTTACAGTTGTTACACCTCCCATGTGCATATTACCTGTGGCCAGAATGTTGGCTGTGTGAATCATGAAGGAGGCGTGCTCTGAGGTGTGCTCTGATGTGTGCTCAGATATGTGCTCTGAAGTGTGCTCTGAGGTATACTCTTAGGTGCACTTGAGGTGTGCTCAGGTATGTGCTCTGAGGTGTGCTCTGAGGTGTGCTCATTGGCATGCTCTGAGGTGCACTCTGAGGTGTGCTCTGAGGTGTGCTCTGAGGTCTGCTCTGAGGTGTGCTTTGAGGTATGCTCTGAGGTATGCTCAGAGTTGTGCATGTGCCAGCTGATGAGATTTTGGCATTGTCATTACAGCTGTACTCCTGATGGCTGCGTCAGGCCCCGTCTCCAGGTCCATCCAATCTAAACTGTCCCAGCTGAAGCCCAGCCATCTGGAGGTGAGGAGCCTAACTTGCTGTTGCCTGGGTTTCTAGTAGGGGTGACGCTGTCTGCAATTGACATCCAATAAGTGGTCCTGTGTTGCTTTTTGAGTGCTTGTCAACACTTGTGTAATACTAGTAGGCAGCAGCATTGTGTTTTTGATGCAAATTACGAAAACTAAAAAAGGCAGCCTCGTCTGCCTGTCATGCGGCCAGCGCTGGTGACAATCCGCGAGAAAGTCTTTGCGTGACGTCACCACCTCCCGCGTGCCTCAGGTCATCAACGAGTCGTTTATGCACAACGTGCCAAAAGGATCGGAGACGCACTTCAAGGTGGTGGTGGTCAGCGAGGCGTTCAGCCAGAAACTGCCCATCCAGGTTGGTGCCAACACGTGTTAACTGACGTGAATTGAAACCACCTATCATGAGCCATTGCAAAAAATCAGTTTTCGACTGGTGTCACACGACTTCTGCTGGTGTCCAGCCAGTGTCATTTGTTACTAGCTGGTGTCACCAGCAGCCAGCTAGTGCTGTACGGCTTATCGTCTTCTCTCTCCAAACCTCAGTTGTAGTCGGCGCGCCCCACAGCCCCAATCATCATCATCATCATCGCCTTCCTCATCCGCCCCTGGCGCTCTTACGCTCACGTTCGGGAGTCGCGGCGGCTTTCCTGGCTATGTCGTGCGCAGCAGCCAGCTGGGGTCTTTGAATTGGCATCTCACACAGTGCGCCGCTTTGACTCCTGCTCCACCCGTTCTGACCTGACCTGACCTGACCTGACCGGCAGCGTCACCGCCTGGTGAACGGCCTGCTGCGGGACGAGCTGGCCGCCGGTGTACACGCCCTCTCTATCGTGGTGAGAGAGGCGGACCCGCAGGCGGGCCCGGCACGGGCGCCTCCGCGGAGGCCGGCCCGCGGGCGGCGCCGACCACTGTGTCAAGCGTTTTTGGGTTCATTGTCGTAGTTGCTTCGCTTTATGGACAACCCGTTAAGGGGATTTATGGATCTTGTTGTTGTCGAAGAGAACGCGATGCACATCGACACGTCTGTTACGGACCGCTAGCGACTGCATTGACCATATTAGCGCTCAGGAGTCGCAGGGCAACCTGGATTCGGACCCGGGCTCCCGACGTGGGAGTCTGGTGCACTGACCACTCGACCATTGCGACCCGGGGAAGGGCATTTATGGATGGTGGAATTTTGTCGTTATGGGGATATATTTGCAGCAGCTTGTGTAAAGGTCTTGATTTCATCATCATTCGGCTCGTTTCCGCGCATGCGCATCTCTGTCAATCGTTCAATCTGTCAATCGTCAATCAAAATGGACTTGATCGCAACACCGTATCAGGCACCGGGTCTGTGGGCCTGGAGCTGGACGCGCTGCCGACTGACGCCGATCGCGTGACCCCGCCGGCAGGCCAAGACTCCGGAGCAGTGGGCGGCGGCGGAGGGCGGTGTGTCGCCCAGCCCCAAGTGTCTGGGCGGCTTCGGCAAGTAATGCTCACCGACGGCCGCTGCAGTGTCCGCTGTGCCGGCGAGTAGTGCGCCCGGTGGCACAGTGGCATCGGCTAGTGCTCAGGGTGGCGATGGTGACTGCTAGCGTGTAGCGATAGTGATCGTAGTGTCTGATAGTGCACCACACTGGTTACGTGGAATGCGGCGTTCGGCGCCGGTGAGTGACGGGTAGTGTCGCTCTGCGGCGGCAGCGCGCGATAGTGTCGTTCGCCGCCCCGCTGCATGGACTGGCTGCGGCTGCGGCTGGCCAGGCTGGAGCTAGACCAACGCGTGACGCGGGAGCGCGACAGCCTGCGGCGACCGGCGGCGCTCGGTGACGTCATGCCGGCCGACGGTGACGTCACGGGCGCGGACGGCGGGGCCGCGCCGCCCAGCAGCGACGTGGCGTTCGAGGACGGCCGAGCCCCCCACGATTCAGGCGGCGCTCGGTCACCCAGTGACGTCACCCCCACGCCGTGTGACGTCACACCGGGCGACAGCGGCGCGTCGTCGTCGTCGGAAGACTGGCAGACGGAGGACGCTGCGACACTCGTGACGCGCTGTCGGCGCCAGCGGCAGGAGCTGCGCGGCCTCAAGCGGCGCCTGGCTCGGCTGGAGCGGGAGAACGCCGCATTGCGCATGCGCCGTGACCCCGACCAGCCGGAGCTGGACCCGGCCGCCATAGTGGAGGACATCAAACAGGTGGGAGCGGGGGTGGTGACCCTGGGGCCAGCGTGGGGATTTGGAGCGTCACGCGAGGAGGAGGAGGAGGAGGGGGGAGGGAGCGTAAGGTGGCGTGCGGGTCTGAGACAGCGTGCGGATCTGTAATGTTCTTGGCCTGCCTCGTGTCTGGCGCGTTAGATAGGTGACCCAACGCAAGTCCACGTTTCTGGTGTGCACGCTGTCTGGTTCGCAATATGGTGCGTCTGCAGAGCGGCCCAACCCCAAAGCCCTTTTCGCAAAATCATGTGCCGTGTTCCTCAGGTGCAGTGCTGAGTTTGTCAGCGCCGGGTAACCTGACCCCCACAATCCATGGGCGGCTTCATATGATTGTGGCTCCGTTTCCTGCGTTTCGGCAGTTAAAAGCAGAGCATGTGTGGATGCAGGATTAAGCTCATGTAGAAAACACACTTATGTTTTAAACAAGTTCCCTGCCCCCTCCCCATGCAAATGAGATGTTTCCACGGCTGGCTGGTGAGTTCAGGCCGTCATCGGACCCCACTGGGGATGAACCGGTGACCGGACCGGACCGGCAGTGGCAGGACACCGCTTCCGGCTCTGGTGGCGCTGCCCCACCGTCACTGTGACGTCACGTGTGGCCGCCAGGCGGCGGCGGAGACGGCGGCTCAGCTGGAGCCGTCTGGACTAGCCTACCAACCAGAGACCGGGCTCTACTACGACCACGACTCCGGCTACTACTGGGACCCGGGTCGCCAGATGTACTACGACGGCACCTCGGGCTACTACCTCAGGTCAGTGCGCCTCCGCGGAGGCTGGTGCCTGTTCCACGGCAACGCTTCCAGCCGCTGCCTAGCTCAGGTCAGAGGCCCTGCCACTGGGATCCGGTCAGGGAAGCGTACCGTGGTCTTAGGTCAGATGCCCTGCCATTGGGACCCGCCAGGGAAGTGTGCTACGGTCTCAGGTCAGAGACTGACACGGGGACCCGGCCAGGTAAGTGTGCCACGGTAGCATATGTTGCCGCTTCGCAGGGAGGGTGCAGTACGGGACGACACCGATACCATTTAGCACGACTGCACCGCCGGGCTTCAGCCGCTTCGCAGGTAGGGTGCAGTACCGGACGACACCGAGACCATTTAGCACGACTGCACCGCCGGGCTTCAGCCGCTTCTCAGGAATGGTGCAGTACGGGACGACACCGAGACCATTTACCACGACCGCACCGCCGGGCTTGCCGCTGAACTTGTTGTCTTTCTGGCGGAGTACACATGACTGGAGACCAGTGAGCTTCATGTTACAACCATGGGCGTTATAAATGTTTAACCATATTGAGTTGTCAGTAGAGATAATAAAACTGCAAAATCAGAAAGGAAGATGGTGAAGTGGCGTTTGCACTGTTGTTTAATGTATAGTGGCAATGGTGGGATCATCGGCGGGTACATATCCATACGGCGGGCGGGGCGAAGTCAGAATACACGACTGAGTGTCATCATTATGCACCTACGTTGGTAAAAGTCCGATGTCGGCATACAGTACATACCTTCAGTAGTCTCAGTGCATCCCTTCTGTGGAACTGTAGTGACGGAAGGCGGCGGAATTATTGGCATGGAGGGGTGAACAGAAGAAATGCGAGGTGGAAGACGAACTCAGGAAGCTATAATAGGGGGGACTGTGACTGAATGGCGAATTTTGAAGGGTGCTGACTGTCAACTGGGATTCGCGGGGCTGGTGCGTAAAACCGGGAGAAGACATGATATGTGCTGTCGGATCGCTCGTGGAACACACAGATTTGATTCGTGGAGCGTGGTTTTATCGAGGATGGAGTGTGCATTGAGGATTTTATCCTGTCCCAGACCATGACTGGGCTGTAGGGTGTGCAAGCCAGCCAAGTCGGGCATTTGTGTTGGGTCATAGGTGGGTGGATGGGTTATACTGGATGATGCTTTCCGGCCGTTCCAGTTAAAAAGGCGAAGCGCCAGACCAAACCGCGCTGTGGTACTCGATAACGGACCGGAGAGACACAAGGCAGTGATGTGGAAATGCTATGTTCAAGGACTGCAGATTGAACTGGAATTCATGGGGACGCCTCACGGTTTAAGGCGACTCCCTGACCCTTGTCAGTCATGTTGAGTTCCCTTCCCCCCAGGTGTGCACTCACTCCAACTGGTGAAATTAGTGCTCCAGCTTGCGCAGTAAACGTTTGTGACATTGACGCTGACGTAAAAGCCGAGAGACACCCGGCGTCACCTTGTGTTTCATTGGTTATTCACGCCACGGAGACATGCGAGGTCAGTTGCGCGCGAGCGTCTCCGAGGAAAGCCACACTTCTTCGCCGGGAGGGCAGGCAAGCAGTGTTGGAGCTGACACCCGTCCGCGATCTTCTTTTGCATCTTTTGGACAAAGTGGTGGGCGTAGCGTTACTGACGTATAGTTTGTCGCCAAAGCTGGTCTCAGCCTATGGGTGTTTATGCTCCAAGTGTTCTATGATATAGAACAAAACTGATAGCCTACGTCTGAAGAAGAGGGAAGGGGCTATATACCATGCTCCTCTCATCCGTGCTTGCCAACAGTAGAACCCTCTGCCCACAGGTATGACCCGGACAGTGAGTCTTACGTATACGAGCCGTCTCCGAACGGGGAGCAAGCGGACGCGGACGTGACCTCTAACCTGACCTCCGACGTGACCTCTGACCCGGCCGAGCCGCCGCGCCGTCGCCGCTCCGGGGAGGAGCTGGAGGAGGGCGAGATTGAGGACGATGCGGAGGCCGAGGAGGGGACAGGAGCCGCCAGCCGGGCCGTGCTGGAGTACTGGACGGCGGAGAGGATGCGGCGGGCGCGACCGACGTCCCCGCCAGACTACTCTGCCTACGGGGTCAGTGGCTGGGTCACGGAAACGGTGAGCGTGCGCCTGGGCTCCGCTACTGGGCCCCAGATTCAAATAAGCATCCTGGGTTTTGGTATTGGTGGTGGATCCACAAAATCAAATCAGGACCTCAGCATTGAATCTGGTGAAAGTTGGGGTTGTGTGTTGAAGCTGAGTCTTGGGACCTTGACTGCCGTAGTCCTGTCCGCACCGGGCTGTGGCGAACCCGGCGGTTACAACAGCTGGTGAGTGGGCGCACAACCCAACGGCACGGGCGCTGATCCGGGAGATAGTGTGGCCAGTTGTCTAACAAAGGCCGTGCTCAAGAAACGCTGAGGCTGTTGGTTACATCAGTGGAAGGTTCCCCCGCGTGTTAGAGAACACCTTAGGTCGTTGGTTACACCCGTAGTGTTGAATTTACCTTCCGTGTTGCGTCGTGCCTTACGACGGATCCGCCGGCAAAATCTGATCTGTTCATTGCCCTTGCCTCGGTCTTTTCTCAAGTTTTGCCTCGCCACGCCCACGTATTGCCAAAAGAGTAACGTAGAACCTCACGCCAGCGGGATGGTGGCGGGTCCCAGCGCGCCCGTGCAGCGCGTGGCCCCCGCCGCAAGCGCCGGCCCTACGCGAGAAGGTGACCGTCCGCCGGCCGTGCCGACAGCCGGTGGAGCCGACGCCGGCCGTGATCCAGAGCGGGCCGAGGTCGCCGCAGGCCGTCCGCGACCCGCCCTGGCTGAGGATGATCGTCACGGAGACGCAGGTACGTCCGGCCGCCCCTGCTCCGCGGGCCCGTGGGCTGATCCCCGGGCCTGTGACGGGTTCATGTCCACGACTAATGATCATGTCCGCGTTTGATGAGCACGTCCACGTGTCCACGGTTAAAGAACATGTCTATCTGTCCACGGTTAATGAGCATGTCTGTCTATCCACGGTTAATGAGCATGTCACGTGTCCGCGGTTGATGAGCTTGTCTACTTGTTGACAGTGATGACCTATCCACCTGTCCGCGGTTGAAATTGAGTGGCGTGTGTACGTATGTGGACGGGTTGGCTGACGTGTCCACCTGTCGCCAGGTGGACGGCCTGCGGGTGGGCTCGCTACACGTGGCCACCATGGACGGACTGACGGTGGGCCGCGACCCCTCGCAGCAGGTGACGTCACACCCCCTCCCCCAGCTCAGTCGGCGCCAGCGCGGTACTGGCCCAGCTGGCCCAGCGGTACGGTTGGCCCAGCCGCGGTACTGGCCCAGCTGTCCTGTAGGGCCATACTCGCTCGGGGCCCGCACAGCTGTCCGCGGCGCCTGGTTCGGTCGTTGGATGCGCCCAGGAAACA